GCACACCCAAAAGTGCAGTTTAATCCAGCATTTTTTGTACTTTTACACTCTTTCTCTGATCATAGTCAATAGGCTGTACTTTCAGGTGGCACACCCAAAAGTGCAGTATAAGCCAGCAATTCTGTAGTTTTAAACTCTTTATATGATCGTAGTCAGTAGTCTGTACTCTCAGGTGGCACACCCAAAAGTGCAGTATAACCCAGCATTTCTGTATTTTTAAACTCTATATATGATTTTAGTCAGTAGTCTGTACTTTAAGGTGACACACCCAAAAGTGCAGTGTAACCCAGCATTTTTTGTACTTTTACACACTTTCTATGATCGTAGTCAACAAGCTGTACTTTAAGGTGGCACACCCAAAAGTGCATTATAACCCAGTATCTCTGTATTTTTAAACTCTTTATATGATCATAGTCATTAGGCTGTACTTTAAGGTGGCACACCCAAAAGTGCAGTACAACCCAGCATTTCTCTACTTTTTAAACTCTTTATATGATCATAGTCAGAAGTCTGTACTTTAAGGTGGCACGCCCAAAAGTGAAGTGTAACCCAGCATTTTTGTATTTTTACACTCTTTCAATGATCTTAGTCAGTAGGCTCTACTTTAAGGTGGCTCACCCAAAATTGTAGTATAACCCAAGGTTTTTGTATTTCTACACTCTTTCTTTGATCGGAGATAATAGGCTGTAAGGTGAGCTGGCACATTCAAGGGTGCTGTATAACCCAGGGATTCTTCTTTGAGTTGCTGGTGTCTATACAAGAGTTATTGTACTGTAATGGGTTGTTTTGATCTTGTGTACAATTTTATAACAGCAATATACAGTTGTACAGTTAAAAAGTGGTTGCGTGTTATTTTTTATTGTATGTAGTATTTTGTCGATGCCTTGGGGAGGCACAAGTTTCTCCGAGACTATGGAACTCACACTGAGATGATTGATTTGGAAGGCTCAGGTTTGTTTTTTAAACTTGTTTGCTGTGGCTCTATTTTGTCTAGAATTTCGCTTATTCGCTGGAGAGAAAACAATAACAGTTAATGACAATTATTACATGCTCTTCATGGAATTTATTGTAAATGTACTAGTTTAACTCCTAACACCTTTATGCCACAGACCGTATGATTGTTTGTTTGTATGTTTTTTCTTTCATAGCTGTGAAAATCCTTATGGAAGATCATCTTGAAGCATGGCAAAAAGAGTTAGCTGAATTATCGGACAAGGTTAAAATGCTGTGCCGCTCACAACGAAATACTGTTGATGAAGAAAGTATTGAGGTTGTAGATTATGTTGCAAAGAAGCATCTGGAAATGTTGAAAAGGGTAAATTATTGGTGATTTAAAAATTGTCCAACTACTTTGTTAATTACCACACTTTTAATTAATAAATACGGTGTTTTTGACACCAGGTCTTTTACCAAGTTATTCATCTTATGTATTTAGGTTTGTAGAGAATGGAAGGAAATTGCACAGGTGACAAGATCAAGGATATTTGATGAAACGGAGCAAGGAGAAATAGATCTGTACATGTTCATGCATATCCCTAAGATTAAGAGATTATGTTCAGTGCTGATAAAAGGGATTATTTCACCTTTTTACAACTGCATTTGTGATGAATACAAAATACATCTAAATATTATATGAAATGCTAAGTGCGTGACCTTCTTGTGTATAATTATATTGTTGCAAGCTTCTATGTGGACTGTACATACTTATTTAATCAGTCCTGATAAGAGAGGGTTTGTCGATCACCATTAATTCCCACAATGTGAATCAAAGGTAAATGCCAAATAGAATCCTTGTCCATGATAACTTGTGAGTATCAAGTCCATTGGTTTTTTAGTTTGCTTTGTTCTTTTTCCTTCTTAATTGTAGTGTAAGGAATGGGGTTTCCTTTTGAAAGATCTTTTTAGAAGCAGCCTTGGAACTGGGGACTATGGGCACTTGCTTATTGACCATGCCCCCATGCTTATGAGATGCTTTTTGTCAATGACTGAGTTTAGTCAACGAGGATTTGAAGCATCCCATAAGGACCAACGTCAGCTTTGGCTTAAAGCCACAAGCCATGATCAGCATGGGGAAGCCTCATTGAGTAAGTGTAAAGGAATAGCAAATACTGATTATGAATTGGAAGTTGTTGAAAGGGTGTGTGTTTGTGTTTGAGTGTGAAAAAAAGGCAGTGTAAGAAAGGTAATGTACTTAATGAGAATGATAGGGACCCTGATTGTGCAGGAAACCAAATAATAAAAGTGACCATTTATTTTGTTGATTTCCATTGATTTATACAGTTGAACAAATGCTGGTGCACTTTTATGCTGAACGGATGTTGATCTTTCGGCTATCTCTCTGAGAAGCCTTAAAGTCAATTCATGGTAAGCATTAATTTATTAAAGACTTTAAGTTCAATTGTACATCTGCTATAACCTGATGCAGACAACATAATTTTATGTATTGTTGATCACTGTGTCCATGCATCATTTAGAAATTATAGATAAGTTTCTGATGAGATTATGTTAGCTTAATTCTTAAACACACGACTCCACAAGCTTTATAGCTTTAAAAATCATCAAATTATGAGTGTAATAAAAGTTATTATTATTATTATTATTATTATTATTATTATTATTATTATTATTATTATTATTATTATATGTCTTTTGTAGTAGAAATAGGAATTGGGACAACCCAGATTTGATGCAATTTTGATTTTAGTGTGTGTGTTAAATAAGCCAATCTCAAGCAGCTTTGTAAATTGCCTATACATAGTGAGATTTACAATTATACATTTAAAAACACAAGTAAAGCTTCCATTATATTGTTATTATTGGGCAATTAAGACACTCGCGTTACGATGTAATTGTGAAAGTTCAAACTTACCAAGATGACAGTCTATTTACTGGTTTCTGAATTTGTTGTCATTATGTCGGCCAACTGTCAGTGAACTGTCGGCCAACAGATATTTTGGGGAGCTCTTCTTCAATTTTACCCATCAACTGTGTTTCAAAAGGTAATTTTCTATTAATCACATATGTTATCTTTATTGATGTTTGATGTGTGCAGGTTTGGAGTATAGCAGTTATTTTCATATATTCTCCCATACACTTCACAAAAATTTTAACTAGCTCTGGCTCCTCTGTTCTCTCTTTTTCATTTTTTTGTAGAACAGTTATTAATGTAAACAATTCATTGACCAGACTTTTGTGATAGAGAGTTTTCTTTCATTACAGGGAAGACATTGGAAAATCAGAATACTTTTCAATTCTACTTTTCTGGCTGTGGTTGGAAAGCAAAGTCTGTTTCCTGGAAATCTAGTGATATCCTCTGGATTAAACTTTTGGACAAACTTCTGTCCATGATGTTTGGGGAGGATTTCTTTGAGTATGTATTTGATGCGAAAAGAACATGACATGTGCATGATGATTTCAAGCCACAGATTGTTTACAACAGACATGAATGGAATTGTGAATATGAAAATATTTGCAATTCCTTTGGCTTTACCAGCAAAATGCATGGTAAGTCAGACACCACATGGTGGGGTAGGTTCATTGACTGAGCCAATAGTACCCAGCTTTACTCTATTCTAATCTGTTCATTAGCCTGTGATTTTTACCAAGGTTGAAATGTAGCTTTTTATGTCCATCACAGGTGACCTGAAATTGTTCCAGCAGCAGAAAATGCCCAGCAAATTTTCAAAGGCAATTCAGAACCAACCAGAGAATGTAAAAGGTAAAACCAAAAGACTCTGAACATAGATACTGTATGTTTGCCCTGCTGGTCTTCATTCATTGGTTTTAAAACTGTAATATACTTTTAGGAGCTATGGGGAAATTCTGTTTTATACAATGGACGTGTAGTAACGCAAAGGTATTAGACCTATGACTCTTGTAGTGTACTGTAGCTCTAAAGGGATCAAGGTCTGCAGCCAAAACAATGCTATCAATGTACTTTCTTGATTTTTCCTGGAAATATACCACTAAGACTTTTTACAAAATTTGCTCGTGTTTTGGTAAAAGTAACCAAGGTGTGAGTTTGTAGAATGTGTTTGATAAACACATTTGCACGTGTGTTTACTAAAATGATCCGAAACCAACAAAATTTTATTACTTCTATACAGTACACCAGTGCAATCATAAACATAGCTGTTGCCTATGTCATAGATAGCGTGAGTTTGGTGCTACACCAATATTTCTTACTTACTAAGATAAAACTATCTCAGGTTTTTTTCCTTTTTATAATTAACTATTTTTCCAAGCTCCCACAAAACCTCACACTCACTACATCTCCTTCCCTCCACTTAGCTAAGTTGGCACTTTGGAACTCCATGTGCTCTTGCTCTGTTTTTAAAGCAATTTACATCTACAC